GATTGAACTGTTTACGATATGAATTGAGTGGTGTTACATCTTAAGCACTATGTGATGTTTCTACCAGCATCATTAATCTTCTACACATGTCACCACTCTAATGCAGGTTTATACACTTCATCCAAATCTAGACTTTTCTTAGCTTCACTAACTTCCGTAAAAATTACGGAGACAACTTCTGCAAAGGATTCTTGTTTTAATAGGTTTACAAGAAGTGCGTAAATCCCATCCTAGTTGATCTTTTATTTTACTCTACTCCCCCATAGCATAAACAACTTAGGCTCACCAAAGTTGGTAGTGCTTTAGCTTACACATGAAAATTTCTAAGCTGATCTATGATGATATGAGCAGTTCTTGAGGAAGAACCTAGAATTGACGAGATAATGGCCAGACTCGAGAAGGCAGTGCAGGGTTGTTTCCAAATTTTAAACGGGGCCATTCTTTTTGGAACATACCAGAAAAGAAATAGGTTCATATAAACTGGAATAAAAGGGAGTTTTGAGCTAAACAAGAGGCTCAAGGGGAAAATGAACTTGAAGCTTCTTAGCTAATTGCTTAAGCTTTTAGATGAGATGATAACACAATTTAATAATGCAAATATAGTCCCGGGTTCAAGTGCCACCGCCCCATTATGAAAAAGTATTTCTACATGCTTTGCCCGAAAAAAAAAAATCAAAGCATGCAAGTGAAGGAACGTGTTAAAGGCATAATTGAGTAAATAGAAGTGTCTCCTCTCTAATAACTTAAGCTTTTAAATAAAGTAACCATACAGTTGAGGAGGTGTCTTGGAATTTGGACAAGAGAACTGTTTGAAAAAAATGGAAGAATTTTTGGAAAAAAGTGTTTGGCTAAAGTCTTTTCAAAAAAAAAATGGCGGAGAAGTGCGTCACTTTTTGAATCATTAAATCTTCTTCCACTCTCAAAACATCTCACAAAACTTTATCAAAGTACAATTATCGATTGGCCTTTGGATGGTCCCACCACCCTTAATGGTATATTAGCAGTAACGGTTCTGATGTCTGAGTTGTTTGTCCTAACACAGTAAGTGACTGAACTCAGAGGTTCATTTTAGTGGAAGTTATTTATCAAAAAGAAGAAACAAAGTGAAATCAGAAGGTCGAGGCCCTGGTATTTGCTCCACCCTTGTTTTTTACGCACTCATTAAGAGAGGGAAAACAAATACTATGTGGAAATAATTTAACTTAAACTTCCAATTGTGCCCTCGGTGAAAAGCTTTTATAGCCACACAAATACTCTGCCATGTTTACACCACAAGTTTCAAAAGAATTATAGCCACATAAATGTTTTGTTTAGGACCACAAGTTTCAAAATTCTTAATTTCTTTCTTAAACTCCTGCCCAGTCAAATAAGTTCATATAAATTAGAACGGAGGTAGTATTAGTTTACTATTCCAACTTCATTTTCGAGCATATCAGAGGAAACAAATAGCTCTGTTCACCTTTTTCCTATTTTTTCCCTTTTTCTTGTTTGCCTTACTCCCTCTTCCTTTCCCTACTTCCCAGAGCCTATAGCTATGAGGCTTCGAATTCATATTTCAAGGGCTAGATGCTAGTTATGGAGGTTTCTTGAAGTTACCTGAGGCTCGGTAAAGCCCTAAGTCAGATTTGAATACCTGCAATTTCTAGATCAATATCAGCTTCAGCTAAATAGGTCATTTTTGTATACTTGGAATGTCAAGAATTTTAAATTGATGCTTCGGCTCCAAAAGTTTTTGAAAAAGATCAGTGAAGACAAGGGTCGTGACATCAGGCTCTTCTTGCAGACTAATGTTCCTTTGGCAGTCTTTATCTGGAGGATGTTCTGTACCCAAAGAATAACCAATGAATGAGGATTCATTGTATTTAATTTCAAAAAAGCAATGGTTTACTGACTGTTGAATCTCTACACAGAAGATTAAGATGAATTTATTCTTCTTTTTAGTTTTTGGTGTAAATAAGAATACATTGATGACCAGGATTCAATCATAGAAATCTTGGACTCCTTATGAGAAGAACAAGGATGTTTTGTTTTTGTTTTTGTCATAGCTCTTCATGATGTACATTCTGGCTCCCAGCACAAATTTTGTTCTGATGATTTAATAAATATATTAGATATGTTATTCAAAAAAAAAAAAAAAACTTAGAGCTCAGAATTAAATAGTGCCATGGGGCGAAAGGCCTAGGGTTTTGAGCAGCCATGGATGCTGTCGTCTCTCCCCAGCCTCAAGCTGTGGGAGAGCCCATCCAAATCAGTGCAGAAACACGCCCAAAAAGCAATACAAAGCAGTCATATTTATCGCAGCTACAAGGAAAGCATTCTGCCGCAAATCGTCAAAACTCGAGCTATGTCCAGTCACGTTTGAACATGGTGAACCTACTGTGGAATTCACCATTGAAGAGGTAAATGCATTCACCATCGAAGAAGGTTTACATCAAGCAGTCATCCTCAAGTTCTCGTATGGAAAACCTGATCTTCAGGAGTTGCGACAATTGATACCCAAACAATTTGATGTCAAAGGCTACTGTAATATTGGACAATTGGAATATCGACATGTACTAGTAAGGTTTGATTTGTTTGAAGATTTTGTTCAAGTTTTATCTAGATCCACAGGTTATGTTAAATCGAAGGGCGATGAGTTTTTCTTTAGATCGTTCCCATGGACAATTGGTTTTAATCCGCGAGAAGAAACTCCAAAGTCAGTTGTTTGGATTTCCTTTCCTGATTTACCTGCAAATTTCTTTGCCAAGAAGTCTCTAATGTCCATAGCTTCAGCAGTTGGCAAACCTTTAGCAGTGGACAAAGCGACACAAGATAGAACTCGACCAAGTACGGCCAGAGTTAAGGTGTTACTTGATTTACTGGCCAAACATCCTATGCGAGTTAGGATAAATATTGTGGATAAAAATTCTGGGAAGTTAGTTGAACATTATCAAGAGATTATGTATGATAATCTCCCAAAATATTGCACCTG